TTTTCTGATTTCACGATTATTTTTATAAACAAGTCGGTTGAAACATGACTAACAATTTACGAAAAAAAAACTCGCTTCAATGAAAATGGTAACTCACAAAAAAGTGTTCAAAACATAGTTTCTTTGAACATCGAGCACAGTTTATAAAAACTGATTCATCACAATCCTTCTCTTCACACTCTTCATGATTCACGGATCAAAAAGCTTTTTTATTGCAAATGGTTTTTCGACCCAAAATCCCAGTATTTCAAAAACCGGGTCTTTAAACTAAACTTGGGCCCAAACCAATGTAATATTCAGAATCAGGACACTCGATTACCTATTGTCCACTAAGTTTTGGACCAAAAGCTTCTGGACAGTTGGGGGCCTTCCCTCGTAAGTCTTAAACTCCCATTCTGTTTAAAAAATATACTTTCTTCCTCGCTATCAATAAGAGATACATATATAGTAGGTGGCGAATGTTTTAGAAGTAATAATCGAAGGTTACATCGACAAGACAAACATCAGCGTGGGAATATTTTAGGTTAGAAACATAGTACAGATCAGGCGAAAACAATAATAGTAGAAAAATTAAATAAAATGTCCTTGCTCCTCCGTTCTCCATCAAGGTAATATTTTCTATTCTAAACTCATAATAGGCACTATGTTTTTTATTATGATTCGTTTAACTGAAGGCAACTTTTTGTCTTTTATCGTGTGAGAGTGCATGATATTTATTTAACTGCTTTATTGTTGGAGCGGAGAGAATTCAGCTATTAATCAAATAAATTGCAATTCTCTTCTTGGGATACGAGGTTCTTTTAGTCATGTGCAGAAATATTTCTATCGAGGTGATCATGTAAACATCGGATATGCTGCTACCGATTGGAGATAGGCAAATTGTTAGATATTCTAATTTTACACAATATACACATTCGTGCAATAGATTCATCTTACTGGGGAAGATTTTTGACCCCTGTTAGTATGACATTTATTGAGATCAACAAAATCCGATATTTGGAATGAAGCAGTGATGCGAGTGACTGAAAAGAGGGCAATTCAACAAACTAAAAATTGAAATTTAGTTTAACAAAATATTACAATTGTAAGAAAATGTCTGGTATATAAAATCATTTGAATTATCATAGTCGAAGGAAGTAAATGAGCGTTTAAAACTAAAAGTTGTGGTAGAATATATGTGTTTGGTTCAGAAGAGATCGATCAATTGTTATTTAATGTAGAAAAAGTCATGCAGTGCCTCTGGAAGATATACTATGGCGTGTTGTTTCTACTAAAAGTTCTATTAGAAAACACAATTGCAATGAATGTAAAAAGACAGAAAATTTTTGTTCATTCATATTTCGTTTCAAAGAAAGTCAAAAATAAAGTCATAAGTTCACTAACTCGTCACTAAAGATATTAATTCAATTTCATGAATATTGAAGAAAATTAGTCCGCAGTTTTGAGTTCTCTCATCGTATATTTTTCTTTTTCGGAATGGCTATTGCCACGTTTGGAAATGTCAACTAGGAGCCATCATCACTTTCGGACAAGACCGCAAGCAGCTATTGCCCCTTACAAGAAGTGGTAAGAAGAAGCTATTACTATAGGAAGTGTTAATAAGTCGCTATTGCTCGTGACATTTCTGCGAACACACAGACACATTGGAAAAGCGGTTTGTGAGTGAGCGGACGGGAGGGTAAGCAGTGTGAGAGTACGTTCGAAGAGTAGTTTGATTGAAGAAGTATGAAATCAGTAACAAGACTTCAAAGTGAACAGAAATGAAATGCGTAATAACAAGTAGGCTCTCAAATAAGGCCATATGGCATTTTGTGAATGTTACAAAAATACGGAAAACTTGTTTAAAAAAATTCACGGAACAACTGGGATCATATTTACGAAAATATCGTTCGCAAAAATCTCGGTGTATCATTATTACCACTTTCTTATCTCAAGTGACGCAGAAAGTGTCAATAAGTGGCTTAAACCGGCTTCGGCTGAAAAGTGGCAATGGCTTCTTCCTAGCACTTCTTGTAAGTGGCATTAGCTCCTTCGACACTTGTGTAAGTGGCAATAAACCCACCCATTTAATCTTCTGACCGGAAGGTACTATTAATGTGAGGTGAGAGAATAGTATTACAGACATTAAAAAGATCTAAAATTGTGAAGAAAATCTTGATTGAGAAAATAAATGTGAAATGTTTCATCGTTACATAAGAATATGTTCAAGATTTTGATTTTTGTTTGACATAGACTAAAATATAGGCATTTTTCGTAATCACCCTATTTTCCTCAATTTCTTGTACATAATCATCATTGAACGAATACCATCGTTGTGTACGATTATTTTTTGCATATGTAACATAATGACCAAAAGATAAATCTCCTGTATGATTTAAAACAGCAATTAAATCATAGAAAACGCCATCATTATTAATTTCTTGTGTAAGATAATGATTAAGATTTAAATTTTGAATTGGATATTGAATAAATGTATCAACTTTTCCACTTGAATATTCATCGTATGTGAATCGTTTTAATTGTATGATAACAACCGGTGGTAATGGTAAACATAGTTCAATTTTTTGTTTACATAAAGTTGCCTTAGTACAATGTGAACAATAACAATCACCACTAAGAAGATCTTCTTTAAAAAATCTTTGTAATAGTTTATCTAGTGTTAAACATGTAGAAGACGACGATGATGATGATAATGATGGTAGTAATGATGATCTAATATTTTCGCCTTGTTTCAATGCATACTTTTTTGCCGATGAATCATCAATTTCAATTGTAATTTTATCTAATCGAAGTAGAATATCATTTTCATTCTCATTAAATTTTAAATCATGTTTTCTATCTCTCCAATCTAACCAATGTAGTTTAAATTCATCTTTAGAATTACCAATTATATCTACTAAATGATTTAATAATCTGTTTATTTGTTCTTTGAAACCCATTGCATAACTAGTATATTCTCCTAATAATTTTATTAGTGGACGAAATGGTTTATTTGTATTAGTATTAATAAATAAACAAGGAATATATTTCTGATTCAATTTATCAATTATTAATGGTAATTGTAATAGAGAAATTCGATTATCAGTAATATTTGTTAAAGAGTCAAATGAGTAATAATTGTTTATAATATTATTGTCATTTAATTTTACTGGTAATAATTGAACTTTATCTAAACTTGAATCATAATCACGAATAAATTGATCAATTAAATGTGATATTGTTGTAGAATATTGAATTGATATATCAATAAATATTTGTTTGTATTGACCATTAAATTGATAATAATTAATTTCAAATGTTTGTTTATTATTAATACATAATGGTAAAAATGTAATTAATTCTTGTTTTGTTTCTTTTGATTCACACATTAAACATGTAACAGTAGATAATATTTGACCATAAAATAATTGATCAATTATAGATACTGATTGTTCTTGATAAAGAACATTGAGTAAAACATTCATAAATTCTTGTGCATCTTTTTGTCTATAATCCGTAAATATTGATGCATGTTGACTAACAACTTCTTTTAATTGTTTTGGTGTTATAAATGAATATTCACCGGACCACATTTGTTTTATTAATTTATAATAAACATTGGAAACAGATTGTTCATCATTATTTAATGTAAAATTTAGATAATAATCTGTTAATTGTGGTATATTACTTAAACATTGTAGTGCACTATTCATATAACATGTATTACCCATATTTATTAAACCACATAGACCGGGTGTATAACTCTGATTATTACAAATTTTTGAGTCTAAACTTGTACGATCATTCTCTGATTGAATACTAATACATGCATAGTCTTTAAAATCTAATAATTCCAATGTACAATCATCTAGAGCAGAATCAAATTTTATCCACTGTTTATTATCATCATCATAAACAAACAGAGTTAAATCAAAATCTGTAGAATATAAATACAATTTTTCATGTGATTTTTGTTTTAATTGTTTGATTGTTGACATTGTCGATATATTAATTAGTAGTGTATAATCGAGATTAATAACAGTTTTCCGAAAAAGTTTAAATGTCAATTTCTTTTCCATGGAAGAAATTGTCCAGTCGGATAATCGAAAATTATTTGTTGACAATTGATCAGATTTTACGTCTAATACTGTATAGCTAATATAATCACTATCAGATAAATGTAAATCTGATATTTTTTCGTTTTTGTCAATATTTCTCACGTTGATCCAAGAATTGGTATAAGCATTAAATACCATTAAACGTATGTTGTTCGAATTTAGAGGATACAAATGTAATCTCTCAATAACTCGTTGTTTTAGATATTCAAGTGTCTCATTATTCGTAATTTTAATATATTCATAGTCCGTTTTCGATTCTTTATTACGAACTACTTTGAATGTTAACAATTTCACGTCATATAAACTTGAATAAAGAGGTCTCTCGTATGAAATACTGTGAGGATGGATGCTGTACATAGCTAGAAAAAAATAGAATTTACAATAAGCCCAAATAGGATTGTTCGTAGCTTTCGGGTTTCTCAGTAACGAAACATTGTGAAGCGCTCGGTTTGGTCTTAACTTGACGAAAATACATGTGGCTAGAGGCTGATAGAGCCGGATTTTTAATATTTTACTTTTCAAATTAATGATCAACGTCAAAAGTCCAAAATTCGAAAAAGTCTCATTGGTAAAGATGTTTTTCTAATCGCAAATCTAGGCCAAATCGGACTCTATCAGCCTCTAGCCACATGTGTCAGCTGCAATGTAAGATCTTCCCAAGCTCTCTGAGATGTTTCGTTGTCGAGAAATCTGGGAACTACGAAATGGTGTTAAGGTGAAAGTCGCTTTCGAGGTATGTCCAGGTCAAAGAATCCTATAACAAGATCATATGGGATCTTGTAAGATCCTATCGGATCCTAAAATCAGATCTTGCCTGATCTTCCATGATCCTATGAAATCATATAACACGTCTGCCATCTTAAAGCAAGAAATGACGTTGGATTTCTATTATAGGTTCCTATGAGATCCTACAGTAGGACCTTATAAGACCATATAAGATCCGATATAATCTTATTATAGGATTTGATAGAACTTTACATGATCAGCTAGGATATTATATGGTTTATCTTATTAAGTTTATTATTTTTATTTATTTAATTATTCGTTGATCCCAGAGAGCCAGAATCAGGTAATTTTAAGCTGGAATGAGCCCAAGACTTGTGAGTACTCGCTCACACGTCGTGGAAAAGTATAGCGGCTATCGGTGGCTCACAGAATTTCTACAATAGACCTGTATTTATATTATCGTTACTGCAAAACACGTCGGTGGTTGTGTTCTCGTATAAAAAACGAAAAGAAAGTACGTACAGAATGAAAAAATAGGAATCCTACAAGATCTTACCGTGGGATTTTGTAAGAAATGCATGATATTCCTATTTATAGGAATCCAATAGGATTTTTGCTACCGTCCTATATCAAGAATCCTATTCAATTCCTGCTGTAGGATTCTATAGGATCCTACAATAGGGCTCCTATGAAATCCTACTATCAGTAGGATCCTATAGGATCTTGTAGGAACCTAGTAGGATTGTTTGGTCCGGGTGATGATGCCAGTATCTGACGCATATTTTAGGGCTTCCAGCAAAACTCTCATAACTCTCGATTAGAACATCATTCAGAGCTGGGAGATTTCTCATTTTGATCAGAAATGTTTTCTCTGTTTTCCTATATACGAAAAGTAATTTTCGATTTGCTTTTTAATTGGAAAGTAGAACTTTTTCTAAAAGCCAGCTTTTCTAGGTTTTCAGAAAACGGGACTTAAAATAAGAGAACAAATTAAATGCTTAGTATTTTTTTCTAAACGAAGAGGAGAGGAATTGGCAGAAGCACATAGAGTAGTACAACGAAAAGTTACAGAAGTGTTAATAAAAAATATTAACAATCAGTACAAGTGCCCTGATTGTGCAAAACAATTTAAACCACAAGGAATCATGAATCATGTAAGAACATGCCCTAGTGCCAAAGATTGGGGTAAGAAGAATAACATCAAGCAATCAAATTAAAGTAGCTAATCGACTGTCAAACATCTATTGAAAACTGAACCTAGAGCGAATGATGGATACAATCTAAACTGGCTCACCAGAGGATAGTATTCTGTTGGATACCTTGGTTTTAGTTTTTCAGTAGTGATCAACAGGACATTCGTCAAAAGTACAAAAATACTAACTTTTGCGTCTATTTGTGTATTTTCTTCTGCTTCTCACCCTATAACGGAAATGGTAATGGGTCTGACTAACTAACTAACAAAAGAATTTCGTATAATATACAGTCTAAGATAAATGTTTAGTAGTAAATTACAAATGGCTGTATATTATATGAAATTCGTTTGACTGATGATGTCATCATAGTTAACCAAACGTCTCGAAATAAAATAAACTGATTAAATCGTGGATAATCTCATTCTTCTATTTTACTTGCATCAGTAACTAGTCATAATGTTATATAAATGATAAAAATTTCAAAAAATTTTTATATATTATTTCTAATTTGATTTAAAAATGACAACGGCGATGGAAATTGGTGAAGTATCAGCTTATGTTTCTGACGAGAAGATAAATACAAATGAAATTGTAAATAATGGAAACAAGAAAAGAGGAAAAAAGAGACAACGAAGTTGGATGAAAGAAATGGTGTGTAACAATGTTAAAGAAGTTGAAGAGGCAGTAATAAATGAAAATCAATGGAGTAAACTACTGCAAACCGCCACCTGCTGCTAAAGATGTTAAAATTGGAGAAAAAAGACGTCGTGTTAGACCATCAAAATTTAAAAAAGCATTACTGATCCAATAAACTTCTTGTTAATTGTAATATACTATTTTAACTGATATAAGTTAATAAAAAACGGAACAAAAATAAATTAAATACTAAGTCTTTTTATATTAATTACTGAACTTGTCAAATTATTTACTATGCTAAAACTAATTTTTTACTGAGCAAAAAATACTTAGCGTGTAATAAAAAACATACTGAGCAATTAAATACAAGTCTGTAGTATTAATTTGTTTTACTTAGTCTGAACACACA